CTACCCCCAGGCCCAGTCCGAGGCCTGGCAGTCAGCGACAGAGCCGGGCGCCCACGGCCCGTGCGCCCCCGGCAGCACCATGCCTGCGCTCCTGGAGCGCCCCAAGCTTTCCAACGCCATGGCCAGGGCGTTGCACCGGCACATCATGATGGAGCGGGAGCGCAAGCGGCAGGGTGAGCCGGGGCCAAGGCGGGAGGGCACACGCCCGTGGACACCGCTGTTCCAGGCCCCACCCTCGGGCCGATCAGTGCGGCGGCGGCGGCGGCGGCAGAAGCTAGGAGGGGGGTGGAACAGCCCTGTGGTGGTGGGACTTCTAGTCGCCAGGTCTGACCTGCAGAATTCCTCAGCCGGGAAGGACCTTGGAGAGCACCTAGTGAACCTTCCCTCTCCGTCCCCCTGCAGTGATCGGCAGCACTGGGATAACCATTTTTGCTGGCTTCAGTCTCTAACATTCTAATTAACCATTCTGCCCCTTTCCCTGTGTGACCCTTCCTCCAGAGGAAGAAGAAGTAGACAAGATGATGGAACAGAAGATGAAGGAAGAGCAGGAGAGACGAAAGAAAAAGGAGATGGAAGAGAGAATGTCCTTAGAGGAAACCAAAGAACAGGTATGTGTAGTCCATCTTTCCCAGCGCTTTCTTCCTTTGGCTCTACCTTCTTCTTTTCCCTCCCTTTTTCCAGATCCTGAAGCTGCAAGAGAAGCTTTTGGCCCTTCAGGAGGAGAAGCACCAGCTTTTCCTGCAGCTCAAGAAAGTTTTACATGAGGAAGAAAAACGGAGGCGAAAAGAGCAGAGGTGGGATTGGAGCTAAAATTAAAATTGGGCAAAACGTATAGATGGAGTCAGTAACAAAAGATCGGTGTTTGTGGCAAGAGGGCACTTGTCCTTGATGTTTGACCTCCTTCCTTTCCCTCTAGTGACCTAACGACTCTGACATCAGCCGCATACCCACAGAGCCTGACTGTTCACACGGGAACGCATCTCCTCAGCATGCAGGGTGAGGCTTACAGAAACCACCTGTCAGTGGGCCCTCCGGGTCTTGTAGCCTGCACTTCCGCATCCTGAAGCCCCTCTCCCTCTCTAGGGAGCCCTGGAGGACACAGTCGCCCAGGCACCCTCATGGCAGCCGACAGAGCCAAACAGATGTTCGGACCCCAAGTGCTTACAGTAAGAGCAGTCAGATTGCTGTTTCCCCTACTACTTCCACCCACCTTGCTAAACCACTCTTCCAGCAATGAGTGTGACACTGACATGCACGGAGAAAAATGGGAGCATACAGTCAATTGAGATTCTGCTTTCAAGTTTACAGTGAGTTCTCCTCCTCCTTAGACCCGGCATTATGTGGGCTCTGCAGCTTTCACAGGGACCCCAGAGCACGGGCAATTCCAAGGCAGCCCAGGTGGTGCCTATGGGACTGCTCAGCCCCCACCTCACTATGGACCCGCTCAACCGGCCTACAGCCCTAGTCAGCAGCTCCGAGGTGATTGGTGGGAAAAGAGGGGAGGGGGTACTTTCGAGGCCCAGAGGGTTAGGGTGCTGTGAACAGACTAAAGGGAGGTTCTAATGGCTGTGCTTCCTATCTTTTTCAGCACCTTCAGCCTTTCCTGCAGTGCAGTACTTGTCTCAGCCACAGCCACAGCCCTATGCTGTGCATAGCCACTTCCAGCCCACCCAGACAGGTGATAACAGCCCATTCAGGGGCCCTGGTTCCACAAGTTCTCCCTTTCCCGTTCTCTACTCACTTCACACACCCTTCTTTCCCACCTAGGGTTCCTCCAACCTGGTGGTGCCCTGTCCCTACAAAAGCAAATGGAACATGCTAACCAGCAAACTGGCTTCTCTGACTCAGTGAGTGTGGAGCTTGGGAAATCAGGGGAAAGGGTTTTGCTATGGGGAACCCCAGGCTGCCGCGGGTTCTGACTCTGTTCTCTGCAGTCCTCCCTGCGCCCCATGCACCCCCAAGCTCTGCATCCAGCCCCTGGACTCCTCGCCTCCCCGCAGCTCCCTGTGCAGATGCAACCAGCAGGGAAGGTAAGGGTGATAATCATACCTGTCATAGTCTCTGCAGTACCATGGAAAACAGGATTGGGTAGGACAGGCTCACACCCATGGTTTTCCCTTCTTCCTTGGGGGTGGTTATATGGGTGTGGAGCAGAAGGGAGAACATGCACACTGACAAACCCCCATTTCATCACCACCAGTCCAGCTTTGCTGCTACTAGCCAACCTGGCCCCCGGCTCCCATTCCTTCAACACAGCCAGAACCCAAGATTCTATCACAAGTGACCATCAAATTTCATCTTCAACCTCACCCCACCCCCTACCTTGGGTGAGAGTCCCTGGTATGTCCTAGGCCAATAAAATCTATCTGCCATTGCCCCTGGCTACTACTGTTTGTGTTCACCCCCACCTGGACTAGGCCAGGGCTGCTGAAAGGGTGGGGGATAGGTAACAGGTCCATGGCAAGTTAGTGTTCCCAGACTAGGGACAGTGCGTTGATTTGTGATGAACTCATTGTCACAGTCTAATCTATAATCTATTTTTGGTTCCCAAGTTTTCCCTTCTAGTTAGCAAGTACCCATTTATTCAAAGTAGCCAAGTTGGGGCTTCATATTAAACTTGTAGTTTTATTCAGGTTTGATTTTAACAAATGTGTCAGGGTGAGAGCCCACAGGAAAGGGTGAAGCCCATGGGGGCAGGGCCCTCCCAGATGCCTGAGGAGGGGGGCAGGTCCCCTTTCCTCTCCTCCTCTTCCCTCTCCTGCTAAAGGGATTTGGGGAGAGACATAGGCATGGGGAAGGAGCTGGTCCCCAGTCTGTGGGATGGTGTTTGGGATAAAGGGCTATAGGAACAGGGACCAGACCAGGGATGAGTGGGGGGGGGGACACACGGACCATTTGCCAGAATCCACGGCTGATTCCAGAATTTAAAAAAAAAAAAAAAAAAAAAAACAAAAACACAAACAACCCCCACCCCCCACACCC